TCCCCCCTCCCCATATTCTTAGGCTATTTGGTTATAGCTTTCATATAAAAAGTATAAATTAGTTTCATAATAGGGGTGTGTACATTGGATACTTTTTCCTCCATTCTTGTGAAACTTCGCTCAGAAGAACATTCTTCCTTGTAGTACTTTTCCATCTGACCCTCCATCCTGCCCCTGGGCTATAAATTCCCACTTGCCCTGGCTGGATTCTGAAGCTGAGCCCAAATCTCTCTCCATCACCCCAAGGCAGTGATCCTTATAGCTCACCACAGTGGCTCCGCATAAAGTTTTCTTACCACGCCTTAGCCAAGTATCACTGGGCATTTTTTTTTTCCTTTAACAAGTGACAAATGTAAAAAAGGATACTGGGGACGACAGCCGCGCAGGAAACAGCAGAAATGGTCATCCGTATGTGGCACGTCAAGAGGCTGTTCCACTGGGGACACGATTTGTAAGAGATGATGGATTGTAGGAACGTGTACAGGACACCGCACACAAAAGCCAACAGGGCGCCCCCGTCGTGGACCACTGGCACAGCTAACTCCTGGAGAGAAAACCACAAGTGCATTACTGTGCCTGAGTCCGTCAACATCCAGCCACGAGCACATGCTCGCTCGTTCCCTCTGGGCTCCTCTGAGCCACCAGTCATCACAGACGCACCGCTTCTTGGAAACCGTGGCTGCGTGCAGAAGACCAAGAGAGAAATCTTGCTGGGGTGAATTAACTGCCAAGAACTTGGTGGTTCCATAGTGAACCTGGGAACAGGGGACAGGGAAAGAATGACATCTATCTAGGAGGTGAGAGTTAAATATAGTAGAGTCTGGCACATCTGGCCACCACTTAGTTCTGTGACCTTGGCGTAAAGCCTTGATTTCTGTATCTGTAAAATGGGCATAATCATCCCTTTCTTGCAAGTTTGCAGTGAGGCTTACATGACACATTTCATATAAGAATTTTGTATAAGATCAGTGCCTGTAGCCCAGGGGCTAGGGCACCAGACACATATACCAGGGCTGGAGGGTTCAAACCCAGCCCAGGGCGTGCCAAACAACAATGACAATTGCAACAATAAAAAAAAATAGATGGGCGTTGTGACGGCGCCTGTAGTCCCAGCTACTTGGGAGGCTGAGGCAAGAGAATGGCTTGAGCCCAAGAGTTTGAGGTTGCTGGGAGCTGCGACACCAACTCTGTCTCAAAAAAGAAGGAAAAAAAAAGAATTTTGTACAAAAGTACACAACTCGTTCCATGATGGTGCCAAGGGTGCCTTGAGGTTTTCAGGGTCTCTACTCTCCATTAATCTCCAGCGATTTCAACCAGAAGGCAGTTCCTATGCCCAGGCAGAAAGGCTGGTGCCAGTCGAGTGCACTCCCAGGCATGATGCTGGTCACCGCGCCTCACCTTGGGCTCCTTTCAAAGGAGCACTGGGCAACTTGTTCTACTGTAACAATGACATTTAGATGGAACCACTGAGTCTTGGCTTATGCTAGAAACCTTCGAGCTTTGCAAAGGGATAAGGCAAGTCCAATTGTTGTCCATGACAGCCTGATTTGGGCCACAGACCCACAGGCCCCCTCTTGCTATGCATATCTCTACCCTTCCCCTGCAGCTGCTCTTCGACCTGGGCCCATGGGACTTCCCCAGCACTAGAGTTTCAACCTCAAGCTGGAGCACATAAACTGATGTTAAATCTTCATCCTCCACATGAGAACAGGAGATGTTTAAAAAAAAGAAAAAGGGGGGGGACAGCACCTATGGCTCAAAATGGCAGGGTGCTGGCTCCATATGCCAGAGGTGGCAGGTTCAAACCCAGCCCTGGCCAAAAAATAAAAGAAAAAGCTTTAAACTTATTTTTCAAGGCAATTTATTTCCTAGTATCAAACCCAGGAACATGGAGAAAAATTCATTACTCGATCTGTATTATATTCAAACATAATTGCATTGATGTTCGGCATCATGTCGTATAAATTACTTATTAGGAATAGATTCTGTACACTTCAGATACCTACCACTGGCATAGAGATTCAGGAGAAGTATATATGAAAACTAATATACATTCTATGGCTTTTAAAATGTGTGTACACCTTGGCTGGGTGGGGTGGCTCATGCCTATAATTCTAGCACTCTGGGAGGCTGAAGCTTGAGGATCCTTTGAGCTCAGAAGTCAGAGACCAGCCTGAGCAAAAGTGAGATCCTTATCTCTACTAAAAATAGAAAAAAATTAGCCAGCTGTCCAGGAGGACACTGATATGTACTCCCAGCTACTCAGGAGGCTGAGGCAGGAGGAGTGTTTGAACCCAGGAGTCTGTGGTTGCTGTGAGCTATCACAATGACATGGCATGACAGCCTGGGGGCAACAGGGTGAGACTGGTCCAAAAAAAAAAAAAAAGTGTTGGCTCAGAGCCCAAAGCTCAGTGGTTAGGGTGCCAGCCACATGCACGGGAGCTGGCAGGTTCAAACCCGGCCCAGGCTTGCTAAACGACAACAAAAAAAAATACACAAGCATTGTGGTGTGTTCCTATAGTCCCAGCTACTTGGGAGGCTGAGGCAAGAGAATTGTGTAAACCCAAGAGTTGGAAGTTGCTGTGAGCTGTGACATTACCACATTCTACAGAGGGCAACATAGTAAGACTCTGTCCCAGAAAAAAAAAGTGTGTACACCTTTAAGTACTTAAATACTTCAGGAAAATAACCACTAAAAATGGTTAAGACAGTAAATATTGTTATGTATATTTCAGCACAATTAAAATAATTTGTTTAAATGAATTAAGAGAAATGAAGTCCTTTCACTCTTAAACATCAGGCAGGTTTGGGCAAGGAAAAATAAACAAAAGGCCAGCATCAACCGCCAGCATTAGTCACTAACAGGAATAAACTGAGAATTCTGGTACTTCCCACTCTTTTTCTCATGCTAAGTATGTCAACATCGCGAATTTACATACCTTTGCTTTTGCCCACTAATGCCATCAGGGAATATGCGTCCTCAACCCTGGCCAATTCAACACATCCTTTAGGGTTTTAATCTGCAAACTTCAGAAGTCCTCACGTTAACTCTCATATTATCAGATCAAAAGGCCTCATTGGGTGGCAACTGTATTTGTAATGTGGCTTTTTCACCACTTAGTATATACTCTATCTAATCAAAGATGTTTTTTACAAGGGAAATGATTCTTAGATTAGACATGAATTTTGGATAGAGAAGATGAAAACCTGGCATCCTTTGTGGGCCCCTTTTTAGAAACTCTCTTTATTATTATGAAATGTTGTTTAAAAGTAGAAAATACTAGAATATTGGCAGGGTGAAACAAATTTTTTTTCAAAAAGGATACTTTTCTTTTTTTGAAACAGTCTCACTTTGTCAGGCTTGGTAGAGTGCTGTGACATCACAGCTCACAGTAACTTCAAACGCTTGGACTTAAGTGATCCTCTTGCCTCAGCCTCCCAAGTAGCTGGGACTGTAGGTGCCTGCCCCAGCGCCTGGCTATTTTTAGACCTGAGGTCTCTCTCTCGCTCAGGCTGGTCTCAAACTCCTGAGCTCAGGCAATAGACATGCTTCAGCCTCCCAGAGTGCTAGGATTACAGGTGTGAGCCACTATGCCCGGCATTTTTCTTTCCTTTTTTATTTTTTTTTATATAAAGTAAACTTTTTAAATTTAACTAATTGTTAATTAATTTTTTGAGAGTCTCACTCTGCTCACCCAGGCTAGAATGCCATGGCATCATCATAGCTCACAGCAAGCACCTCTAACTCCTAGGTTAAAACAATCTTCCTGCCTCAGCCTCCCAACTATCTGGGACTACAGTAAGGTGACCAGATTTTAACATTGGTAAAGCGGAACACCATTGACGGGGTGTGTGTGTGTGTGTGTGTGACAACAATGCAAACTTTGATAAGCAGTTCTCAACAATTATTTGTTATTATTAAAGTTTAACATTATAAAATTAATAAAATAATACAAAATACATATCCTGGCGAAATAGCCACATGGCAGCCAAAAACCGTATATTCCTTTCCTGTTCTCCCTCATTCCCTAGCTTGTCGTGCATTCTTTCCAAAAATTGGGACTTTTTAAAAAATGCCGTGGGACGTCTGGTCACCTTAGACTACAGGTGCCCAGCTAATTTTTCCATTTTTAACCAAGATGGGGTCTCACTCTTGCTCAGGCTGGTCTCGAACTCCTGAGCACAGGCAATCCACCCACCTCAGCCTCCCAGACTGGTAGAATAACAGGCTTGAGATACTGTGGCCTGGCCTTTTAATTTTATTTTTAACTGACAAATAATACTTGTATGTATTTATGGGGCTTGTATATGTTTTGATATATGTTTGCATGGTGGAATGATTAAATCAAGATAATTTTTTTTTTTTTTTTTTTTTTTTTTTGAGACAGAGCCTCAAGCTGTCCCCCTGGGTAGAGTGCTGTGGCATCACACTCACAGCAACCTCCAACTCCTGGGCTCTAGCGAGTCTCCTGCCTCCGCCTCCCAAGTAGCTGGGATTACAGGCGCCCGCCACAACGCCCGGCTATTTTTTGGTTGCAGCCGTCATTGTTGTTTGGCGGGTCCGGGCTGGGGATTCAAACCCGCCACCTTAGGTGTACGTGGCTGGCGCCTTAGCCGGTTGAGCTAAAGGAGCCGAGCCAAATCAAGATAATTAATGTATCCATTACCTCACATACTTATCACTTTTTTGTGATGAAAACATTTAAAAATATAGTGTTTTGGCAATTTTGAAATATGCGATGTTATTAACTATAACCACCATACTGCACAATTAGAGCTCCAGAATTTATTCCTAAGTGAAACTTTGTATCCTTGGACCATCTCCCCATTCTCCATCCCTGGAAAACCCTGGAACCAGTATTCTACTGGGTCTAGAAGTTTGACTTTTTTAGATCCCACATAGAAATGGGGTCATGCAGTATTTTTCCTTCTGTGACTGACTTATTTCCATGTTGTCCCCAATAGCAGGATTTCAAAAAGGAAACTTCTGAAAGAACAAGAAAGCACTGACAGAGATCAGTCAGGATGCACCCAAAAGTAGCCATCCCACCCACCTGTTTGGGAAAGAGAGGTAGTTATCGGTTAACTTCTTATAAATGTTATTTCCTGTTACTCATAAAAACCACCAGAGGCAGTCACACTCTCTCTTGCCCTCACACTTCTAATTCTCAAGGCAACAGCTCCCTCCAGGTGGTTTGCTCCCCGGCGTGCTGAAAATGAATTGCAGGATATCAAACAAGAAAGATATCTTTATCAGAATAATGACAAGTCAAATGCTATAACCGGAGAAGTTAAAGATTCTGTTGAAGATTCTATTTCTGTTTTTTGCAATGGTTCAATCACTTCATTGCAGACTTACAGAGACTTAAAAATTCAATTATCTCACCATGTACATTTTCTTCCTAAAACAAAGGTCTGCCCTTTATGGTTTAAAAAATGCCAGCTGGGCCAGGCTATAATCCTAGCATTCTGGGAGGCCAAGGAGGGGGTCACTTGAGCTCAGGAGTTTTCTATTTTTAGTTGAGACCCCGACTCTATTAAAAAAAAAATTGAGAAATCAGCCACACGTCATGGCACATGCCTGTAGTCCTGGCTATTCCGGGAAGGCTGAGCCCAGAAGTTTGAGGTTGCTGTAAGCTATCATGCCAGGGCACTCTATCAAGGGTGACAAAGTGAGACACTGTCTCAAAAAACAAACAAACAAAAAAAATGACAGGCCTGGTGCAGTGGCTCACACCAGAGGAGGATGGATTGCTTTGAGCGAGAGCAAGACCCCATCTCTATTAAAAATAGAAAAAACAGAAGCAAGAACATCACTTGAATCCAGGAGTTTGAGGCTGCTGTGAGATATGACGCCACAGCACTCTGCCAAGGGTGACAAAGTGAGACCCTGTCTCAAAAAAAAATTACATCTGTGCTTCTTGTGATGTTGAGTTATTCAGAAGATAAAGTGGTGCATACAAGCCCCCCCCCCAAACAATCCACACTGTGCTAGACAAATCACATCCTTTTAGACCTCCCCATTTTGGTTTTTTCCATTGTGTTTTCTGATGATAGAGCTGTGAGTAATATGCTTGCTTTTTGCTCCCAGGTATTTCCTCATTTGGGCATCAAGGGTAAATCTTCCCACTGGCTCAGGGAACACTACCTCTGTTTGAAGCCCACCACTGTCACAATTACTCATATAATCCTGGGCAAGTGTGAACTTCTCTGGGACTCCATTTCACCAGTGATAAATAGAGAAAGCAACACTACCTATCCTACAAGGCTTTTATTAGAAGTGTAGGAGTGGGCTCCGTGCCTGTAGCTCAGCGGCTAGGGCGCCAGCCAGATACACCAGAGTTGGTAGGTTGGAACCTGGCCCCAGCCTGCCAAACAACACCTACAACCAAAAAATAGCCCAGCAGTGTGGTGGGCACCTGTAGTCCCAGCTACTTGGGAGGCTGAGGCAAGAGGATCTCTTGAGCCCAAGAGGTTGAGGTTGCTGTGAGTTATGATAATGCCACGGCACTCGACTGAGGGCAACAGAGTGAGGTTCAGTCTCAAAAAAAAACAAAATTTTTTTTCTCAAAACCAAACTAATTTTTGTAAACTCATCAACCATTAATAGCTATCCTGGAGCAAATGTGCCTCTTGCATTCCTGCTCCTCTTCTTGGACATGTCCACCATCACCTCCAAAAACCAAAAAAGCTTCAGGTCATACCTGAAAATTGGCAACAATGCCCATTCCGATACATCCCACCAATCCAAGAACTAATGACACCAAGTTAAAAACAGGAGTGCTGAAATAGCAGGTTTGATTTTGCTTCTCCACTATTTTATATCTTGTGTACATCGTGGCTGCACCTGGAAAAGAAAGGAACTTTGATGAACTATCATTACTTGATTTTTTTTTTTTTTTTTTTTTGGAGAGAGTCTCTCTCTCTTGCCCAGGCTAGAGTATCATGACAT